TTGAGGCATAGAACAAACACACCTTTGGGTCAGAAATATTGATCAGTACGGGATTCAGAACACTTTACGATTCAACAGCAACCGAAGTGCTCCCTCGTTTCAAAGCAGTGAAGCAAATTATGCAGAGATTTGCTCTGAAGCTTCTGTTCGATTCCGGTAGAAAATGATTACTTAATGGAAATAAATGATTTCTGAATTGTCGGTTAAGCAGTGATTGCCATTTGTGACCTGACTAAGACATGGAACACACCGATAATAATTTGGTCACTCCAATCCACGACTGTTTGTGGGGACGCTGCTGTGCGCAATTGGCTGCCGTGTTTTGCCCACAAAATATACAGTCAATTCACTATAAAATATATCCTGTGAAGCGATTTGAGACATCTCAAAGACGTGTTAAGGCACTATATCAAATGCAAGGATTATTATTATTATTATTATTAATGGACAAGCTCCAACCCAGATCACAATCTCTTTGGGATCAGACATTTGGCTCTGTCTGAGACGGCTTGCGTTTACTGCAGACCAGGTGTCGCAGCGAGTACAACACTGACTTTATATAAATATATTAGCAAACCTGACACCAAAACAATATAGATATCAAGGTTAAAGACAAACATTACATGCTGATCCCACATAGTTCATCATCACTGTTGGCCTTACTGATGAATCCCAGGAGGGAGTTGGAAAGGTTCAGGTGACAGACAGCTGAGGGAACTGGGGCTTCTGTAGACTCCACCACAATATGGATATGTTTACCTTCTCACTTACCACCTGCTGCAGACACTACCAACACACAGTAACCTGTACACTGCATTATCGTAATAATATGATCCGGGGGAATGGAAGACTGACAGATGATCTAATTAATTGTTTAAGTAGATCTCACGTGCTAGGGTTGTGCCATGTAGTGCCCCCGTGCTCCCCGCTGCTCGCTGCATCTGTCACTGCTCTTACGGAGCCTGCGTTTTGCTCAATTTTGTGCATCGAGAAAGCATTTGTGCGAAAAAGCATCGACTAGTTTTTTCTTCCACACCTCCTGGCACTGTGAGAGGGGCTCCAGTGAGTGCAAGAGGGGCTCACGTACACCCACTCCTGCAGTCTCAGTGTGCGGCTGGCTAACAATACACAACTATCACTGGAAAGTCAACCCACCAACCTAGTGTGTGTCGCTGCAAAAAATTAATGACAATAATCCTTGCATTTGATACAGTGCCTTATCAGGTCTTCGAGACGTCTCAAAGCGCTTCACAGAATACTGTACAGTGGAGTGACTGTGTATTCTGTGGGCGAAACACAGCAGCCAATTGCGCACAGCAGCGCCCCACAAACAGCCGCGGATTGAGTGACCACATTATTACCTCTGAAAAAGCGATTCACCAATCGACTAGCAACAGAGTTCCTACTTACTGCTCGCAAGCGAGAGGACCTGGGTTTGATTCCCGGGCAGGGCAAAACATTGGGCAGGTTTCCCATTTAATTTAATGATGCAATTATCTTTTTTTGGAAGAAATCATTACGCCCGGAAAAGCCATCCACCAATTGAGTAACAACCTACTTACTGCTCGGTTAACAGAGGCGTGTGTGAGGAGACAGGAAATTTGTCTAAAGTTTGGCCTTGCCTGCCCGGGAATGAGAGCAAAACCTCAACTTTGAGACCTAGAAGTAAGCGCTCTGGGACGCTACCCCGCCTGAAGGACGCTATAATAATGCAAGTTGTTGTTGGCGTTTTTTCGCCAACAAGGAGGGAATCCATCTTATGACTCCTGTCTCCTTGGTGCTACTCTACTACGGTAATCAAGGCTAAAGGAATCAGCCTTGGTTGTCAGATTAGACATGGCGCTAGATTCCTCAACCCGGTTGCCCCTCGTTCTTTGGGGATTCCAGGAGAAATTCAATGGTGTTTGTAATCTCTGAACTTTTGAGCTCAGAGAAGCCTTATCTCACAGGGCCACTAACCAGGTAACTCAGGTGTTATGTGGACCAGATGGCAAGTCCTGCCTGCGTATACTGGCCTGTTAATTTAATGATGCAATTATCTTCTTCACGGCTGCTGTTCACTGGGCTACTCTCCTGCGTGTTCCCAACTCTCACCGCATCACATCAACTAGAGCAAGGCCATAAAAACCTGCGATCACAGCGATCTCCAAACCAGCGATCCCCACTGAAGTTCTTTGTCGCACACTGTTCCCGGGATGATTCCTCCCTCCTGATTATTTTTCCAGATCATTTTCCTCACTTCGGCCTCCTGCTTGTCCCTCGGGCCCTCCATTCCATTCCACCCTCGGTGGCCGTGCTTTCAGCCACTACTCCCCCGCATTTCTAGAACTTTCTCCCTCTATCTCTCCCACAGCCTTGCCCCTCCCTCCCTCCCTCCCTCCCTTCCTTCCTTCCTTCCTTCCTTCTTCTCTTCCTTCCTCCCTTCCTTCCTTATCTTCAAGTCCCACCTGAAGACCTTCCTATTCGACCAGTGCCTACGGTCAACTCCTCCTGGCTCGACATTGTGCTCCTCCAGGTGGGGGTAGGAGGGTGACCGAGGGCACAGTCGAAGTGGAGGGTCTTGAAACGGGCCTTGAAGGAGCCGAGGGGAGGGAGCGAGGCGGAGGGACTGTGGGATGGAGATCCAAATGAACCATAAATAATCACTGCTGCGGCATTTGCAAGATGCAGTCGCCAAGGCAGCTGTTTGACTATTCATTCCCCGCACCATGCAGCTGTGAAGCAATCCTGTCGGCGACCCCAGTTTGCAGACAGCGGCAGCTTCCCAGGTCCGCGCGCGGTGGTGATGTCTCTGCGTCGGCCCACTTTCATTTTCGAATGCATTCGCCACATTCCAATGCAGTCGGCGTAGCAACCTTTTGCTATCTCGTTCTCTCAGCGGGAAATACTGCAGGTAGTGGCACAAAATGTGCCGAATGATTTAGCATCCAATAAGCCAATCTGTCATCGTGTCCGTAATTGTCACACTGCATGTCGTGTTGCTACAGCCCACAGCAATGGTAAGTGCAGAGTAATAGCTGCCTTTGAACTTAAACATTGACATTTCGCAAAACTGTCTTGGAATACCACCTTCTGAGAGGTTCACTGGGGGAGTGATAACGCTTGCGTTTGAAGAGACTGTCGCTAGATATGCATCTGTCTGCAATCATCGGTGGCTGCGTCCGTGGTCGACGGCGAGTTTTAATAATAAACGACCCTGTCCCAAACTCTTTAATAAGCAGGTAATCGGTAAATATGCAGCAATAAAGCGGTAGGAAGTAGATCGCATCGTAACTGACACAAAACACATTTAAATACAATCGCACTGGGGTTACTACAATCACAACAACTTGTACTTACACAGCGCCCTTCACGCGGGGTAGTGTCCCAGAGGGCTGGACGGTGACGGAGTCTGACCCTGAGCTGGGGGTTGGGGGGGGGGGGGGGCGTGGGGGTGGGGGAGAGGGAGTGGGGAGGTGACCGTAAGCACCATCAAAAAGGAAGGTCTTCGGGCTTTAATCATACCGTCCTTGCCCACAGCAGTGTCCGGAGGTGAAGCTTTGGACGCTGCTGCGCGCAATCGGCTTCTGCGTTTCGCCCGCAAGATACACAGTCAATTCACTTTACAGTATGTTCTGTGAAGCGCTTTGAGAAGTTTCGCAGCCGTGAGAAGGCGCTGTGTCACGTGCAAGGATTATTATTATATCCTGCAGCCCCACTGTGAGGCCAGTCATGCGTTATTCCTTTCCGTAAACCCACAGCAGATGGGAACGTTCTCCATTGTACCACAGGGATGGGTCTATTTGAAAGAATCCAGAGGGAGATCCCAGAAGAGGCAAATTACACCATTGGTCTGAATCTCTCCCCTTTCCCCTGACACACGGCTATTCAGCTTGCTGCTCGGAGGACATGTACTTCCTTGGTCAGCAGACTGGCCTGATTCTTGCTTCCAGTTGGATCCCCAAAAGTGTGACGCGATCGACTCTCCCACACAGCAATCATCTGAACAAAATACCAGTTCCCAAATGAATGAGTTACGAATGGATTGTGCAGTGTGATGGATTGTGTGATGTAAACCCCCTATTCACACGCGGCAGTGGAAACAGAGGAACAGGAGGAGGCCATTCAGCCCCACGAGCCTGTTCCGCCATTCTATAAGATCATGGCTGATCTGTACCTCAACTCCAATTATCCGCCATTGGCCCAGATCCCTTGATATCCTGACCCAACAAATACCTATCCACCTCAGACTTGAACAGCACACAACATGTTCACATTGCATCTCTTTGTAAGGCTGATGATGTGTTTAACTCAAGGCAGAAATCCTATTGATCGACCTTAAGAGGGCACCTTCGGCAGTTCCTACCGTTGACGGGCAGGTCCCCATCCCCTCCCTCACAACAGCTTTTCAGGAACTCGGCAATAATACCATCTACACCTGCTGCCTTACCCTCAGCAAGGCAAAGCAACAGACTGGATCATTAAGGCCTTCAATCTGCTCAACTCCTAATGCCAACTCCTCCACCCTCCATGCAATGCAGTTGGATCTCTGCTAAGACCTGTTGAGTCAGCTGCCAATAATAATAATAATAAACCTTGCATTTGATGTAGTGCCTAACCACGTCTGGTAGACCCCTCAAAGCGCTTCACGGGATATACTGTAAAGTGAATCGACTGGGTATTTTGTGGGCGAAACGCGGCAGCCAATTAGCGCACAGCAGCGTCCCCACAAACAGTTGTGGGTTGAGTAACCAATTGAGTATAATTTTTTTTTGAAGGGATTATTACCCCCGGGAGAGCAATCCTCCAATCGACTAACAACCGGGTTCCTACTCACTGCTGGTACACAGAGGGGTGTGTGTGTGTGTGGAGTAAGGAAAATTGCCCAATGTTTCCCCCTGTCCTGCCTGGGAATTGAACCCGGGTCCTCTCGCTTGCGAGGCGAGTGCTCTAACCACTGAGCTACAGGACTCCACACTAATACACAGGACCTGTTGAATATTTATGTTTGTGACACTCACCGTTTTGAGCTCTTTTATCCCGCTGACCTGCCGGACGACTCGATCTAGTTCCTGTTCGATCCTCCCAGCCCAGTACTGAATCCTAAACAAAGATGGAAATAAAGAGAAGTGTGAAGCCTTTGAACTAAAATAATCTATTAATTATTAATTAATAAATCTATTAATTAATAAACAAGGCCAGGAGTTCATGGTAGCTTTTCAACTACTGCTTGTTTTGAGAACCAGTTTCATATTCCAACCATATCACTGACATATCACATCAATCTCAATACTATTAAAACACTTAAAAAATAATTTGGTCACTCAATCCACCACTGTTTGTGGGGACGCTGCTGTGTGCAATCGGCTGCCACGTTTCACCCACAAAACATACAGTCAATTCACTTTACAGTATATTCTGTGAAGCGCTTTGAGACGTCTCGATGACGCGATAAGGCGCTGTATTAAATGCGAGGATTATTACCCCAAAACTAAAAAACACCAACATTACAGGGGAGGGGAACACAAGGTCAACTCTGCTTGTCAACACCATCCACAAAACTACAAGGACTAAAGCTTTTAAGGTCAACCATACAAACATGCCAAGCCCAAGCCGACAACTAAACCCAAACACAAGCGCTGTGGACAACTAGAACGTGACAACTGGCCCCAAGACCACAACTAAAACTGAAGTTTAGTAAAGCAGCTGGTTCCTGAATGGCAATGATGCTAATCAGTGTGGTGCTGCCTCTTTGCATTTGCAGCCCGTTGCACTGTTCACACTGACCAAACAGAACATCTGGTGGCGGAGACCAGAGTAAACAGTGCTCTCTCTCTCTCTCCTCTCTCTCCATGATTGTCGCCAGTCACATCCGATCTTTGTCATGCTCGGAGAGGCATCTCTCTCTCTCTCTCTCTGTCTCTGTCTGTCTGTCAAAGTTGGGAAAGGCTTAGTAATCCTCTATTGTATTCAAGTGTCTGAGAGTTGCCAACAGTAATGCCTGTGGTCGTACTACCATTCCCTGAACATGTGGGGGCGGGGGCGGTTATGCCAATCTCTGTGATGAAGCTCCAATCCTTGTCGGTAAAAATTATTTCAATGACTTATCTAAATCTGCAAAGTGTCCCCCATTTATTGCACCATTGTAATTATTTCCAACATCATTGAGAGAGACCTTAGAACAAGAATATCTACTGCTATCGTTTGGGTTGTGATCAGACAGAATGTAACAATGTCATTTTATTTTGACAGGGTTCATGTGCAAGTTGGTTTAATTGATTTAAATGATTGAGTGTTTAATTGAACAGCCATGATAGGGGCAAAGTGTCATGTACTAAACTACAAGTATACACAACATTCCCTTTTGTTCTTGTGATGTTATCACAGTCAAACAATTAAACCAATTGGGTAATAATAATAATCCTTGCATTCGATGCCTTATCGCAACCTTGAGACGTCTCAAAGCGTTTCACAGAATACACTGTAAAGTGAATCGACTGTACGTGTTTGTGGGCAAAACGCGGCAGCCAATTGCGCACAGCAGCGTCCCCACAAACAGGTGTGGATTGAGTGACCAAATTATTATTATTATTTCTTTGAAGAGATTATGTACCCCCAGATCAGCGACCCGCCAGTCGACTAACAACCGGGTTCCTACTGACTGCTGGATAAACAGAGGCGTGTGCGTGGAGTAAGGAAACCTGCCTGAGGTTTCGCCCTGTCCTGGCCGGGAATCGAACCCAGGTCCTCTCGCTTGCGAGGCGAGAGCTCTAACCACTGAGCTGCAGGACTGCACAAAACTCCAAGCTAAGGGGACTCAGTGAAAGCCAGGCTTCGACCAACTGGAACTATCTATAATGCCAACACTGAGCATTTTAGCGGCATTGTACCAGGTTCCAACGAGCTGGAGAATCATTTGAACACCTTGGACAGCTATTACAATACTGTGTCAGGTCCAGATCATTTGATATGTTGCCACGTTGGCCGGATACAATGCAATGACTGCTGTACCCGTGCCAATCAGCGAGATGATAAAGTCTTACCGATTATCACAGACCTACTCCACATTTACCTTTCCAAATAATTAGCGTCTTCATCCCGTGATGGCTCCATCAATCACGCCCATTGCCCAGACACAATTCATTAAAAGGGACTCGCATTCGCTTTGCAACGCCGACTGAATACAGTTTTTGAGGGAAAATGTAATGTCACCAATTTTATCGCCATGGTAACCGTGACTGTAAAATGGTTGACTAGCGGCAGCCTCGAATCTTTAGGAACAACACAAACGTTTGCCTTAAAATGGAAGCAACACAATTGCCTTTCACGTCGGGGGGGGGAAACGTCCCAAGGGCTTTGAAGCAACGGAATGGGAGGTGGGTGGAGTGGTGGGGGTGGGGGTGGGATTTTTTTTCACGGTGATGGAAAGTAAACTGTGTTCAGGAATGACAACGACGTAGAAGGCGCTTTGAACAAAAAATTAATAATAACGATTATTCGGTCACTTGAACCCACCGCGGCTGTTTGTGGGGACGCTGCTGTGCGCCATCGGCTGCCGCGTTTCGCCCACAAAATACACCGTCACTACGCTTTACAGTGTATCCTGCGAAGCGCTTTGAGACGTCGCGAAGACATGGTAAAGGCGCCGTGTCAAATGCGAGGATTATTATTATTATTATTATTTCTGGGGCACTGCTGTGTGCAAACTGGCTGCCACATTCGCCTCAAAACATGGATTATTATTATTATTATTATTATTAAGATCCATCTGACCCATACCCGAGATTGGCGGGGAGGGGAGGGGGGTGGAATGGTGAGTTAATGTTTTTTTTGTGTGCATCTAATCTATTCTGCAGCCCAGCCTGCATGCCCTTGATATTGACACTGGATGTCACCAATGAAAAAATGCCCCACTGAGCAATATTGACACAACTCACCTTAATGAGCAGAAAATATACCTAAACTAAACACGCAAATCAATAAAAGAGAGAGTCAACCGTCTGCTTCTGGGTTTGCGACTGGTAACAGCAGCCGAGATAAGCCTCACCAGAGGGGCTGACGCTGTACTTGTTATCAAAAATTTATTAGCAACTGTGATTGTGGAGCCGTTGTGATTCCTGCCTGATATTGTCAGCTTTGCAGCAATCACACAAATTGATAGAGTATTTATTTACACAAGTAAACTGAACGCACCAAAGAAATGATTTGCTCCTTTTTTTTTTGGTCCCGCAAACACATTACGCACATCAAACATCACAGATCTACTCTCTGCTAAATTATTCACAAGCACCAACGCAGGCCCAACACAGCTCGCTTCTTTGACATCAATTCCAGCAAGGTTTATAGAGCTATGGAGGGCGGTGTTCCTTCCTGCTCATGTGTTCACCCTCAAGAAATCTGTGTACCGTGTAGAGTGTGACACAGTGAAGGTAATAATAATAAGCCTCGCATTTGATACGGCGCCTTATCGCGTCTTCGAGACGTCTCAAAGCGCTTCACGGGACACACCGTCCAGTGAATTTGACTGTGTTTTGTGAACAAAACGCAGCAAACAATTACGCACAGCAGTGTCCCACAGTCATGGATTAAGTGACCCGAGTATTATTGTTATTATTTAAGAATTATTATTATTAAGACAACAGAAGTACACAACAGTGGATGACAGTAAAGATAACGCAATAGTGTGAGAGATTGACACACAGCTGTTTTGTGCAACACAAGGAGAGAGAGACTGGAGACATGACAAGCGTACAGCACAGTAATGTGAGAGAGCGCAGAGATAGTGTCGAACAACAGTGTGGAGATGTGAGCGAACACAGCCATGGTGTAACACTGCCAGAGGGGTGAGAGCAGAAAATATCCCTAAACTAACTAAATAAATCAATAAGAGCAAGTCAAACAATTTGCTTCTGGGTCCAAATGTGACAGCAACGTTAGTGGAGTAGAAACAGCAGCATGATATCACATTTAGTCCGTGTGTTTATGCGAGCGAGAGAGAGAGAGAGAGAGAGAGAGAGAGAGAGAAACTGCAAACTGATACGATAGTGAAAGGAGCACACCAGCTGACAACAACTTACCTGAAAATAATAAAAAATTATAATGGCGCAGACCCGTACCGTTCAAACATACGGACTAATATTTAATCCTCGACTGAGTGCTGAGCACCTGCTAATATTTCACCCTCGAGGGATTTGGATGAAGATGAAGAGTTTTTCTCCCTGGTTCAATTAAACGTTTACTGTTAATTATCTCGGAGAGCGAAGCATTCCTCCACAACATTTCTCCAACACAATGCAGGACTTTAAAGAACGTGACTTCAGTCAGGAATGTCAGACGCGAGTGGAAAAAAAAATACCGACTTGGTCGAGAGTTAAGAAAGTAGAATGAAGTGGTATATCTGGTATCATTCGAGTGAATCTCCTCTTGTCACCTCACCGTAAAGAGACGGGGAGAGCGTACAGAGGAAATCCCCTTTGAAGATACCAGGGATGAATGGCTATAATTATGTGGATAGACTTGAAACGTTTTTGACTGTCAGGAGCAGAGAAAGTTAAGATGGTGTCTCGTCTTGTCTTAAGAAGCCGGGTCTAAAGCTGCATTTAAAAGAGAATTTGGGATAAATGCCCGAGAAAGTGCAGGAAAATAATATTTGCAAGTGTGTGGCGGGAAAAACAAGAGGACATCCATCAATTATCCACTGACGTGCACACTGAATTTTCCAATTGAGTGTGTTGGGGAGTGATGATTAGCCGTCTAAAGATAAGAAGAAAACAAGGAAGGTTTTTTTCCTCTTCGCTGCTGGCATTTACGCCTCATTCAACTCAATTGGTTGCCACACAAAGGTAACCGCTACACAGACATGCGCGTTAACTTGTGCCGAGACATCTCCGGGTTTTAGGTTTGGAATTCTTACATTTTCTAATCACATTCAGAGATGATAATATTAATCCTTGCAGTTGATGTAGTGCCTTATCACGTCTTGGAGACGTTTCAAAGATACTCAATCCACCATAGGATCTTTGCTGTCCTACTTTAGAGAGATTTTAAATTCGACACGGCTAACACGGGTGCAAGTCTCTCTGGAATACCTCCACCGCTCAGAT